GGTGACTCCGAAACACCCTTTCCAGCAACCTGAGAGGCAAGAAAGGGGAGTCCATCCTGGATCTGGGACAGGGGATGGAAGCAGACCGGACAAACAAGGGCAATGGACTCCAGGGCAGAAGTCGTCAAACAGTTTCGATCGCGTGCCCTTTACCTGCCAGTGTTTAGATGCTCCCCACGACCCAACGTATTATTTGTAAGTTACCTCCATGGGTTCCACGTTAAGCGTATTATACAACCTTCTCAGAGTATGGACATTCAGAAGGATGAGATCTATTGAAACAGAAGTTGCGACATCTTATTCTTCACCATCATCGGTCTTCTTGTGCAGCCCACTCTGGAGACCACTGGTAGAGAGCAGGTGAACTTGTGGAGAGAGGGGCATATGGAATTGTCACTCCCGGCATAGAACCTCAAAAGGCAAAAACACCCTCAACAAGGCTCCCTTAGCTTTCCTTCAAAAGAGACCCCTGTTGGGAATTCCCTGGAGGTCCAGTGGTTAGGACTCCACACTTTCACTGCCGAGGGCGCAGGTTCAATCCCTGGTCGGGGAACTAAGATCCCACCAGCCTTGCAGTGCAGCCAAAAAAAAGAGAGAGAGAACCCTGCCACCATGTCAGTAACCAGGCAGGAACGGTGCCAGGTAAGGACTCAATCCCCCACCACTCTCTCTCTCACTTTCAGCCCTCTACCCAGGCTTTGGATTGCACTTTGCCCTGAAAAAGTTGCCATAGATACACCTGATGCCGCTGCCAGAAGTTTTTCCACCATTAGGAAGCTGGGACCCTATAATCTGGTAGTGACCACATCTGACATGGAAGTGATTGTTTTTTTTTTTAATTTGTATTGAAATATAGTTGATTCACAATGTTGTGTTAGTTTCAGGTGTACAGCAAAGTGATTCAGTTTTTTATATATATATATATATATGCATATATATATATATATATATATATATACACATATATATATATTTTTTTTCTTTTTTAGACTCTTTTCCATTATAGGTATATTGGAAGATACAACATATTACAAGATATTGAGTATAATTCCCTGTGCTATACAGTAGGTCCTTGTTGGTTATCTATTTTTTTAAACATCTTTATTGGAGTATAAGTGCTTTACAATGTTGTGTTAGTTTCTGCTGTATAACAAAGTGAATCAGTTATATGTATACATATATCCCCATATCCCCTCCCTCTTGCTTCTCCCTCCCACCGTCCCTTTCCCATGTTATCTATTTTATACATAGTAGTGTGTATATTTTAATCCCAAACAGCATGGAAGAGTTTGGATGATAACATTACGACTGTTTTCAATTTGAGGAAAGAGAAGCACTTTGTTTAGACTGTATATTCTAAGGAGAGGGACGAAACCTTATAGAATTCTCTTCATACAGAGTCATGGGTGCATTTAAGCACTGGGTCCATAGTAGGTTTCGTTTGGTTGGTTGATTGATTTTCTAAAAATGAGACTAGCAAAAAAATTACTTCCTCCAAAACCAGATGTAGTATTAACAAATATCATAGCATATTTTTTTCTGCAGGCTTTACAAATATCTCATCACCTTTATTAGAGGACATCACATTTGCTGCGGAATTTTTATATATGCTTCATCTTATTACTGCAGCGAGAAACACAAATAAACTTATAGTTGGTAGCAAACCACAAGGGCAAAAGCCATTTGTCCTTCTTGCTACAATTCCTACCTATGACTGCATTTTGCAGCCAGGACCCCTCAGCATCCTTCGCAGAACTGTGAAAAACACATTTGTAGCCTTGGTTTGACAAGATTTCAATTGGGAGAACTAGTTGGTTTCTGCCTCTAAACGCTGGCACTGGCTTTCCAATGTAATACCTGGTGACTCTTCTCTATCAGGAACTTGGTAGTTCTGGTTACCTTAGAGATGCCTTATCTCCCAGTGCACCTTCAGGGAATGGCAGCCAGCCCACTTCTTCTATCTGTTTAGCCAAGCCCAGGGGACGGAATCGTGGTTCTCACTGACAAGAGGCAGTTAGTTTACTGGACTTAAACTACAAAAGCCAGCCTTGTAAGGTTTGGGGAACACAGTTTTACATCTCAAAAACCTTAAGAAAAATTAATTCTATAGATTGGTAGTAATTAAGGAAAAATCATAGTTTTTGGTTTTTTTTTTTTATAAATAAGTTAGGTGAATTTTGCAGTTTCCTTAGTTCCTTTTTACTTGGACTTGTCAAGGTATAGCCAGGACACCTGTTTTGGCTGGCATCAGAGAGCTTTCGGGAACACCACTTCAAGGCAGCAGCTGACTTTGTGCCTCATGTGCGGTGGGAGACGCGTGAGAAAAGAGAAAAGCAGAAGTCACAAAGACTTTCCGAAAGACATGGGAATGTTATAACAGATCTTTTGACTTTATAAAATACTGAGTGTTTTAAAGAACACCATCTTTTATCATAGCCAGTCTCATCACTCTTAGTCATCAAGATAAATGTTATTCCATCTAGCCAGAGTTTTTTCACTTTCATTTAGAGTCAATTCCATTATTTCATTTGATGTGAACTTTCTATTATTTCTCCCGATTATGTAAGTGAGCTGATTATGCAACTAAGAGGTTGGTAAATATGGGGCTTATTATAAGATCAACATTTTTCTACAGCTCAAGTTGTTTATGAAGTAACAAAGAGAATAGAAAAAAAATTTTTTTTTCCAGTCTGCCCTGGATTCAGTTTTATCATTCCCAGGTTTGATTTATAAATGGCTGAATCTTAATCCCTTTTACAAATTAGCCTGGATCCTTAGTCCAGATGTGAAAGAAAATTAGGTTTTGCTTTAAAACAAGGCTGGGCTTCCCTGGTGGCGCAGTGGTTGAGAGTCTGCCTGCCGATGCAGGGGACACGGGTTCGTACCCGAGTCCGGGAAGATATCACATGCCGCGGAGCGGCTAGGCCTGTGAGCCATGGCTGCTGAGCCTGTGCATCCGGAGCCTGTGCTCCGCAACGGGAGAGGCCACAACAGTGAGAGGCCCACGTACCGCAAAAACAAAAACAAGGCTATAGACAGTGGCAAAACAAAATACTAGTTAAGTAACTACGGCAAAATCTCATTTATTTAAAATCCATTAATAAGGAATTTGTGATAGTTCAGAAAGGCTCGAGACCCAAGTGTACCTTTGGTCTAGTTGTGTAAGAGTTTGCTAAAGCAGTTATTAATGGAAAACACTTTTTTTCAAAGAGAAAGCGGAAACTTCTAAAGGGACTGTTTCTAGTACCTTTAAGTAATTTTAGACATTTACAATACTGAATGGTTTCTTAGTTATAAATAATTCTTATCCATAACTTAAGTCCTCTGAGCCACCACTAAGTAAATCTTCCTTGACGTACCTACAGGATTTGTTATAGTGATGAAGGTGGCCTTTCACTTATAAAATGAACATGAAAGGCTTTCCTCAAATCAGACTATCCTTCCCTACTAGTTTCTTCTGAGCAAATCAGGTTGTTGGATGTTCTGCTTTAAGTACACAAGATCCAGAAGCAGCTTGCTGGGTTCAAATCTCCCTTCTGCCAACTGGGCATATTATTCACCGTTGTGGTGCTTCCACCTCCTTACCTGCAAAATGGGAAAAATAATAATACCTAAAAAATTTTAAAACTCTAAAGCACTTAGAACAGTGCCTAGTTCCTTAAAGGTTAGCCCTTGTTGCCATGACACTATACAGCAGGTCAGTGATGCAAGTCAGACTCAGTCACATCCCCAAGGCATCACTAAGAGAAACTTCCGTGAAATGATAAACATTTTACAGGAGGCAGGTTTTTTAGCCCCTCTTTTCACAAGGCTTACGGGCATATTTTCACAGCGCAGTGCATCACAACTGTTTTCCATTCTTCAGTCTTCCTTCCTTCTGGGCTCCAGCCACCCAACTTACCCTGCCAGGTACTTCTGCTAAATTATGCATAAGCTTTTTCCAAGCCACCCCTCCGAGTCTCTACGAATTCGTCTCCGTTCTCTTTTCAGTTAGGGCTAGAACGCACCTCCTCCTTTTAGTCCTCCGTCATCAACGGCCCCCACTTATGATCAGCCTTTGACTCAGGCGCAGCTCTGCTTGGGAACCCCTTCTTAATAAATTCCTCAGATCGTTACAGGCTTTCTGAATCGCCTGGTCTTCACCTGAAAATTTTCATTAAAACGTGGAGTTTGAGCAGCCCGCTCTTAGTTGTAGGACTTTGGGCTCCAAACAAAATTCCTAGTTAAAGACACAAGAACAGGAGCACGGGTGAGCTGCGGCCCCCGAGGCCTGGTGAGCGCGACCACAGGCCAGTTTAGAGGACCGTTCGTTTGGACCGGACAAGGACGAAAGGAGGTTAGTGACGCACCTGAATAAGTCCGCTAGACGAAAGGAGACAAACTAATGCTTGATATGGTGCTAAGAGTGAGGACCGCGCACGCGGGCGCGCGCACACACACGGAAAGAGAGGAGCAGTCCCAGGTATCTGACAGTGACACGCCCCGATCCAGACATGGCCTCAAAGGCCCCCGATTTCCGGAGCGCCCCCGCCCCCTCCGGAGATTACTGTCAGCGCATCCCTCCGCCCTGCCCCGGCTCAGGCGCGCCGGCTGCGCTCCTCTCCCCTCCCCCCGCGGCCGCAGCTCCCCGCCCCCAGCGGACGCGTTTCTCCAGTGTCCTCTCGAACGCCCGCGTGGCTGTCGGGTTTCGAATCCCCGCGCCGACCCTCGCCCTCGGCGCGGGCTGCTGAGTCGCGGGCGCAGCCTTTGGTCCCCCGCATCAATCATTAACGGGCCAGCTCGGGCTTCTGCGACCCGAGGGAGGGGGGATGGTACGGAACTCGAGCCCAGGGACAACTCTATCCCCCGAGGCCGCCGCGAAACACTAGCCAGAGAGGCCCCCGCCCTCCCCCAGTGCGCCCGTCCCTCCCTCCCTCCAGCGCCTCAGCTCCCACATCCCCGCCTCCCGCGCCGGGGGCGGCTGCTGCTGCTGCGCCCGCACCGCGCGATGCCCAGTCACCGCAGCAGCGCCGCCGTCAGCCGCGCCGCCACCGCCGCTGCAGCAGCGCGGGCGGCCGAGAGCCGGTAGCAGGGAGCCTGGGGAAGGGGCCGCCGAGCCCCGTGCGCTCCTACCGGTCGCTACGCGGCTGCGAAATCGATGACTATTTTTATTTACTTATTTGTTTATTTTTTAGGAACGGCTGCTCCAAGGCTCAGGTCTTCTCGTGAACCTGCAGCGACGCCCCCGGCGCGTGCACAAAGGCTCCGACGGCAGCCGGCGGGGACTGGCGAGCGCGCCGGAGCCGGCGCCAGAGGTCGCCTGTGCGCGCCCTAGCCAAGCCCCGGGCACCATGCCGCGGCGCCTGCAGCCCCGGAGCGCGGGCACAAAGGGCCCGCCCGGCACGACCGCGGCGGCTTCGGAGGCCGCCTCACGCCCCCACCCCTCACCCTCCGGGGACGCTCCGGCCTCCGCCAAGCCGCTGCTGCGCTGGGACGAGGTGCCCGACGACTTTGTGGAGTGCTTCATCCTGTCGGGCTACCGGCGGCTGCCGTGCACGGCGCAGGAGTGCCTAGCCTCGGTGCTGAAGCCTACCAACGAGACGCTGAACTTCTGGACGCACTTCATCCCACTGCTGCTGTTCCTGAGCAAGTTCTGCCGCCTGTTCTTCCTGAGCGGCCGCGACGTGCCCTTCCACCATCCGTGGCTACTGCCGCTGTGGTGCTACGCTTCGGGCGTGCTGCTGACCTTCGCCATGAGCTGCACGGCGCACGTGTTCAGCTGCCTGTCGCTGCGCCTGCGCGCAGCCTTCTTCTACCTGGACTACGCGTCTATCAGCTACTACGGCTTTGGCAGCACTGTGGCCTACTACTACTACCTGCTGCCCGGCCTGAGCTTGTTGGACGCCAGGGTGATGACCCCGTACGTGCAGCAGCGCCTGGGCTGGCACGTGGACTGCACGGGCCTCATTGCCGCCTACCGCGCGCTCGTGCTGCCCGTGGCCTTCCTGCTGGCCGTGGCCTGCACCGTGGCCTGCTGCAAGAGCCGCACCGACTGGTGCTCTTATCCGTTCGCGCTGCGCACCTTCGTCTTCGTCATGCCCCTGAGCATGGCCTGCCCCATCATGCTCGAGAGCTGGCTCTTCGACCTGCGGGGCGAGAACCCCACGCTCTTCGTGCACTTCTACCGCCGCTACTTCTGGCTGGTGGTGGCCGCCTTCTTCAACGTGAGCAAGATCCCCGAGCGCATCCAGCCGGGCCTCTTCGACATCATCGGCCACAGCCACCAGCTCTTCCACATCTTCACTTTCCTCAGCATCTACGACCAGGTGTACTACGTGGAGGAGGGCCTGCGCCAGTTCCTTAAGGCGCCGCCGGACGCGCCCACCTTCTCGGGCACCGTGGGCTACATGTTGTTGCTGGTTGTCTGCCTGGGGCTGGTCATCAAGAAGTTCCTCAACAACACCGAATTCTGCGGTAAAAAGTGAGCCTCCGCCTTGGAGGAGGCTGCCGGCTCGCTCACCTGTTTGCTTGAAGTTTCTGTTGTTGGTTTGTTTTCAAGTTTTGTTGTGTTTCCTTCTTTGCTCGAGGAGGGTGCTGCAAAACCACAGGGAAAAAGTTCAGTGCGACAAGGGCTTTGGGAGAGTGCACTCAGTGCACTTAGGGCTTTGGGAGAGGGAGGTGGGGCAAGCAGGAGGGAGAGGGCGGCTGGTTCTTGCCCCTGGAAAAAATGCAGGTGGTGTCTGTGACATCCAGGGATTCTTCTAAGGCAGCGCGAATAGAACCCCACATAAACCCCCAACCAGTTCGATCTTCCAGTCGTCTTCTCTGCCAGAGGTAATAACGAGCAGCCCTTGTGAGGTCAGGCATGCAGTAAAGAGGGTAAGTAGACAGAATCCCTGGGTACTTCCGTTTCAGTGTGAGGAATGCTTGGATTTGTCAAAGAATAGAGCTTTGTAGGAAAAGAGCACAGAGACACTAACCCAGGGCTTAACCTGCTAGAAAATGCATGGAATGTGAACACACGTTAATTATTTCAAAATGTTTCTTAGATGTTAGTTAAATAGTAATATATACAATGATTTTTCATAATTTATCGAAGCCTGTGATCTGCACTGAATTTTCTTTATCATGTAGTTTGGAAACTTGCAGCTCTTCTGCGTTGCATATACTTGAACTGGACATCAGGGCAAGCTGCTTGAGAGTTCTCAGCTACTTTTCTAAACAGTATTTTTTGAAGGCCTGTGTGTGTCATGATACAACTGTGAATTATTCTACCTTAGGGACTCTGGTTAAACTATTGGGAAGGAGCTAAGTGGTTTGTATAGGTCCCAGATTGCTATTTACTTATGTGTTCCACAAAACCCATCCTGTTTCTCGGTTTTGTTTTTAATCTTATTCTCTCTTTCTCTACTGGTTCAAATTGCCACTGGAATAAATGTGCCTTTTGAAGCAATGCCCAAATGACTGGTCCTCAAACATAGTTTCTTGCATGGGGAGAGCAGTAGGTGTAAGCTTTTCTTACTTTATTGCAAATCAAGGTTTAACATTCTCTTCAGGAGGGAAGGAAGATGGTATGGGTTGTAAGTTTTTGGTAGGACCAGTAGTGGCTTCCTAGGACATGCAGAGCATTTGGCTTCTCTTACAAGGAGAAGAAATCAGCCTACTAATGAGGCTGTGGTTCCTAATGCTGCCATCGGGGAAGGTGAAAGGACACTGTTCTAGACTGAGCCCGTCTAGCCTTGCTTAAAATTAAAATCGTAGTATTCAGCAGTAAATATGGCAGTTGTAATATGAAAGTCAGGAGTATGTTGCTTGAGTTATAGCTGAAAATTTTGAGTTAAATAAGATGACCTTTGCCTAGTTAAGCACTGAATTCTCATTTGGATCCAGACTATGGAAATGAATGGCGGTCACCCTAAATCGTTGAAAAATTAGGGAAACACGCTCCTGAGATCCTATCTGACAGCCACGTTGGCCAGTGTTACTTAAGACATTTCTCATAAACGTTATCCTGGACTTGAGATAGCAGCTCTAGACTAACACACACCACTGAGGTGGCTTATTTAAATACTTATCACACTTCTTGACACGTCCTTCGGGTGAAGAGCCAGATAAGTCATTGAATGGGGAAGTCTTGACTTCATGGTATAATTTAGATCAAGGACAGAAGGTAGATGAACACTTACCTCAGCACTGGTAGGCTGGTGGTCCTGCCAAGATTGCTCTTTTTGTTTATGCTTTTAATCACTACTGTACTTGTAAACAGAGAGGCTCCGGCACAGTTCCCTGGAGGAACCAGTATCCTTGTGTGTTAATTGCACACGGAAGTTAACTTTATATATGTCTATATTTAACTTAGGAGATCTCTTAACGAGATTGTAAATACACTTTGCGCATTTGCTGATGGGTGTCAGTGTCTCATGTTTGGCAAAGTGCAAGGAGATTCCTGTTAGGTTACAGGGACTGAGAGCTGTGCCTGCCACGGATGTTAATCCTCAGCTGTAACTTAATTCAGTACGTGTATTCAAGGACAATTGTGGCAATCAGGCTATTTCCACATGCAAACTCATTTGCATGTCATTGTTGTCTCTTTTAGAGCCCCCAAAAATGTTGGTTTGGAAGCTAGAAAAACAGGTTGAGGAGCATTTTGGATCTTCCTTGTAAACTAGAAGAAACTCTCTAGAGACAGCCTTCTAAAAAAGGTTGATGAGTTTGAGAACAAGAAATAAAGCCTCTATTTGTCATTTTAAATTTTTGTTGGCGATCTTCCAGGTCCTCAAAGAAAATTCTCTTCTTGCCTTGTGTCTTTGTCCTTAAGCAGAGGCCACTTAAGGATAAAATTATACCCATATAATTTTCAAGTGATTATGATGCATGAGCCCAGTAAGATGACACACTTTTCCCCTGGAAGGTTTCAGCAAAGTGAGGACTGACTTTCCTTCCCTTTGCTTCTTCCTTCCTGCACGTTCCCTTTCCCATTCCATCTTCATTTTTATATACCACATACAGCACTGACAAAGGACATTCTAGTTGAAAACATTGGTTTGGCTTTACCTCATGTTTCCAAATAGGTACCGTATACACTACATAAGACCGGGGTTGATTTGTGAGGCTATATATGTTATTTGCTAAATGATATCGGATTTCGGTCAAGATAAATGATGATATTTGAGAATCAGCAAATATTTACTCAGTCTCCACATTTGCATAGAACTCTCCAGGTATATTATATATTTCAGGGGTAATATGACAATCAGAAGAAAATCGCTTTTAAAATATTTTTTCACGCTCTTCATTTTGCCACATCCAATTCAGTCAGTTTATTGTGTTCAGCTGTTAGAAATGTAGGACAGATGATAAGTAAGAATGCACTCCCTTATCTCTGTACAACCTATTTCAGCAGTAGAATTTTGAAGCCCGTTATGTAATGCATTTTATTTTTACTCATTAGTCATGATCTGGATGACATCTCAAGGAGCAGCATCAGAGAGTCATGCCTGGGAAATGAGGGTGTTTGACTTCCATGCCTGTCACCCTGTGGGTTGGTCTGTGGAATTGACTCAGGCTGATGTAGGCGGCTAAGGGGAGGTTCCTTTCTTCCCTGCCATTCTTGTATCTGCACCTTCAGGTGAAGAGGGTGACCTCGCAGAGAGAGGAAGTGAGTTCTTCAGTCATGTCATGACCGGCTTGTAAAAACAAACGTGATCTTTTCCCCTGGCCATACACTTTCTGTAAATAGCCCAGGAAGAAAGCCCAGGGCTTCAGAGCTGGCCAGAGTGGCCTTCCCATGTTTCCATTCATAAATCCTGCCTGTAAGTGATCGCAGTCAAAAACCATTTCACTTAATGCATCATACTACTTCAGGGGAATCATTTTGAAGAATGCAAAATTTGAGGATGGAGGTGATTTTTATAACTTTTTCTGATTCGGTGCTGAATCTGAGAGCTCACAGCAATAACAAACAGGGATTTTAATCTTCAGATCTCTTCACAACTTGATCTAATCTGCACAAAGCTATAGTGGGGGCCAGGTAGGCGTTATCTCCACTTTAAGGTTATACCGTTGGTCCAAGGTGGCAGAATTAGAACGTGGAGACGGTTGTGTGCTCAGTTGTGAGTGTTACTAGTTTGCATGGCTATGATGCCTGGCCTAGCACACCGACACTAATTGGATATCTATACATTTTCCCCCTTTCATTGATTACCTTATAATTGTAAAACAGCGAGATTAGAGATGACTATCCTTGAATTTAGGTTATAAAATTTTAAACAAAATGTTATCAGCTGCTTAAGTACTTTCTGTCATCTTGCATTGTTCTTCATCTGCTGAAGTCTGCCACTGCCGACTTCTCTCTGAGTTGATTTTCACTTGCTTGTTCATGGAATCCGTTTAGTGATCATTAGCAACCTTCTGCATGTAAGATGCTGGGCAAGGAACCAGCCATATTATTATAGCCATTACCCTTTTATCTGCTGGTGGAACAGAGGTGGGAGCACCAGAAAGGCCCTCTGGCCAGGGATCCCTGTCCCAAGCCTCTGAGTTTGGTTCTTTTCTCCTATTAGCCTAAGAGCCATGCATAGAATCTTATTTCAATTCACATGCTAATTCACCCACAATCGATTTCATTCCTTTTTTTTTTTTTTTCTGTCTGCTCCTAAGCCTATGTGAATTTTCTTGGTAAAAATAACTAGAAAGTTTAATGCATAATCCAGGTGAAGGGAGAGCAGGCATATGTACAAAGAGTTGAAAAATTTATCATCACTGCTAATTCATAAAGATCACTTTTGGAAGTTTCATGGTTTTAAACCACTGTGAAGCAAGGTTCATCCAAAGTGCCTAAACCGTGATATCATTAAGTGTCTGCATTTCACAGATAGCATATTTAAGTTTTTTAAAATGTCAGCTTAAATGCTTATATCTCCAAAGATTAGCTGAGATTACCTAATGTTCTTTAGCCTTTTTCCTCTTTTCAGGTCATTGTGTTGTAACCTATGAAACCTGTTTTAGAAAAAAATTAATCTGGAGAAAGCTACATAGAAAAAATACCAGATGTGAAAAAGATAGGAAGCAGGCATGGGAGAAGGGAGAACAAGGAGGATTAGCTTCACACAGTTAGAATGGGGCAAGTTGAACTATGGACAGTTTTGCCTGAGTTTTGCATTTTGTCCCTACAAAAGCGTGTGCACTCCCAGGGCATTAGTGCTCAGATAGGCAGGCGAGGAATTCTGTTTGGCAGCATGACCACATCCTGTAGCTTATGACCTGAGCACAAGTGCCTAGGTATATTTTGAGTAGCAGATGTACTCCTGGTTTACCGTCTTTAATTTGTCTCCATAAAATTAGGGCATAAGGCAAAAAGGCATGAGGGGATAGCATCAGCCAATTGTAAATCACCTTTTTTTTTTTTTTTTTTGCGGTACGCGGGCCTCTCATTGTTGTGGCTTCTCCCGTTGCGGAGTACAGGCTCGGGATGCGCAGGCTCAGCGGCCATGGCTCACGGGCCCAGCCGCTCCGCGGCATGTGGGATCTTCCCGGACCGGGGCACGAACCCGTGTCCCCTGCATCGGCAGGCGGACTCTCAACCAGTGCGCCACCAGGGAAGCCCTGTAAATCACCTTTTGATCATTTTCTTGAAGGATTGCCAATATTCTCTGACATATATCATCTGACAAAAAGCGAACAAGTCTAGACAAACTAAAAAAGGCAGCAATCATTGGTGGAAGCTGAGTACTGCTGTATTCTGTTGTGATAGGCTGCATGTCTTCCTACTGAAGATTTTATTCCTTCAATATTATGAATAATTATTCTTAATTGTGAAAATGGGTGTCCACTTTTTAAAAAAAAATTATTTATTTATTTTTGGCTGCGTTGGGGTCTTTGTTGCAGCACTCCGGCTACTCTGTTGTGGTGCGCAGGCTTCTCATTGCAGTGGCTTCTCTTGTTGCGGAGCATGGGCTCTAGGCGCGTAGGCTTCAGTAGTTGTGGCTCATGGGCTCAGTAGTTGTGACTCATAGGCTCTAGAGCGCAGACGCAGTAGTTGTGGCACATGGGCTTAGTTGCTCCGAGGCACCGGACCAGGGCTCGAACCTGTGTCCCCTGCATTGGCAGGCGGATTCTTAACCACTGCACCACCGGGGAAGCCCCTGGTCGTCTACTCTTCTTGGTCACTATTCCAAAAGCCAACACAAATTTTTGTCATTGTTAAAAAAAAGGACAAATGTATTGCATTTCTGGTTTGCAGATTTCTAACCGGGTTCGTGGGCTTCTTTTGTTTCCAAACAGCTTCTTCAGAGCCTGTGAGTGAGTTGCAGAATTAGCGTTTACGGATAGGTCAGAGGCCGGGAATGCTCATTTGGCTGTTAATTGTGGCAGGATGTGACTTTTGAAAGCTCTGAACACATACCTAGAGGCAGCAAAATGCTCATTTATTGACTATTGAACTCAGTGGAACACAGCTTTGC